TGTGTGTGTGTGTGTGTGTGTGTGTGTGTGTGTGTGCGCTTCTTTCCAGCTCATCAAACATTTTTTCTCAATACTAAGTGTACTTCATGGAGTCAACAAACACAACGGATTACGTAATACGAGAGCGAAGCTATTTTTCGGTCATCCATGTTTAGCAGAATTATACGGAATAACGTAGTTACAAATGTGGGAATTTTCGATCTTTGTTCATATACATTCTAATTGAATATACAGAAAAAAGGGATTTTTGAGAGGTTGTGCAGTGTTAAAGATTTAGCATTACAATATCGCCTACGCTATTCGATTACTCCCCTCCCCACCCCGTACACTCATCTAGCCTTTTCACCTAAGAAAGGTGCTAAAATACACTTAACTCGACGTCTTCAAGTTCAGCGTTCGGTATCCTTTTACTTTTGAGGAGTGACCAAGGAGGAGGGAGTGAAACATCTTGTGTACAGATAGTAGGAGGAACAATAATATTGTTCTAAAGGAATCTTTATTTTGAAACAAAAGAAATAACTTTTTTTTTCAGCACTGTTGACGACATTTATATATAACTAGCTGGGGACCCTTTCGATGAAAGGAATGATCGGCACATTAACATCAACTGAAAGTCATTGGCCTACTATATTTACACTCTACTGGAATGGAGCAATAGATCTCGAGAGATGCAAAAAATTAGAAGATCTAGATCTAGATCTAAACTCTCAAAACAAAATGCGCCTCGCAAAATATCACTTCCGGCACTTCCGCTGTGGAGGACAGCTACGCAGATTTGTTTCGTTTCTCAGTGGAATAATCATAAAGGCCTAAGAAGGACGGGAACTTTTTGTCAAATAAATATTTATGAATTCAGGAAATGAATAAATAAAAAATCGGGCTCAGTCGTGAGGACCTGTCTATCTTTTTGCAGGTACTTGCCAACTTTTAACTCTGTAGCTGTCGTAACTTTATGAGAAAAGTTACACATGTGTTTCCAAGTTGCCAAACATATATTAGATTGCACCCAGATAACGGTGGAAAAACAACCATCCTGCAGTTGGCAGTTTTTGACGTTGTGAAAACTTGTCAAGACTTTGATTGCGACGAAGACTCAGTTGAATCTGGAATATCTGGAGGTGTTATCTCTGACTCAAGGTTGACGTGTAGTGGGGTTTTGAATTCGCCCTCCGGTCATAAAATGGGCCTACGTCACCAGTCAGGGAAGGTGATCATGACCCCTCCCCCCCTCCCGGTCGGTACCGATATGAGTAAATGCGGCAATCGCAGAGAAATCGAGTACTCGCTAATGTTGCAGCTGAGCTGCATTCACGCATTGTGTTATGTAAGCCTAGTCCAGACATTCTCTCTGCTCCAGAACATGGCATAGACTGAGCACCCCCCCCAACCTCCCCCCGCCCCCATACACACTCAAACGCAGTTTTTTTCCTTAATGAAGCTTGTCTTACATTTATGATATCACTTGGCTTAGACAGATTGTTGCGTGTGTACACTTGAATGAAGTTCTGAGCGGTTTATCTATCACTGATATCTTGTGTATTGTGTAGGCTTCACCTGCCTTGTGTGTGTGGATATCAGACAAATAATCAACAACAAGTTTGTAATGCTTTTAAATCTGTAGCTTGTTCACCTTCGTCTGTCGGCCGACATTCATTAATTTACCCATGAGCAAGACTGCACTTTAGGTGCGCGTCAAAAAACATTTCCCTTTTCATTCGGAAACTCCTTGACCACCAGTAAATTACACGCCTGAAAACCAATGCCATTGAGGGTGGCCAGTGTGCTCAACAGAGAAAGAGAACCATTCTGAAACAACAACACAGGAGCAGCCTGAAAGAGAAATTTGCAAAGAAGGAAATTACCTTTGAACAGTTTTGTCATGAGAATGAGTGTCAAATTGCTCCATTAAAATGTTTTATCTCAGCCCTCACTGACTTTTATCCCATTTTAATCATAGATATCCAACACAAAATGATAGTTATAATATACCCTCTTTGAAGTCCTATTCCTTTCTCCCAATGGAGAGCAGGGATAACTATAACACAGTTCTTCAAATTAAAAACACACACAATAGCGCAATGCTCAGAGATGTGAATGATCATAACCAGTTTCGATACCCTATTTCTGTCTTTTTAAAAACTATTCGGTTACAAAAAAAGGGGGGGGGGAGGGGAGTTAAGGATCTAACTTTCCGCATGTAGGGCTGTGAGGTCATTTGGGGGGGGGGGCGAATTGCATTGCGTCCGACAAGTAATGACCTTCCATCCTTCACCCTCGCGAGCTGCCATTACACATTCTGCTATATCCAGGCCAGTCCATGCTTTTATGTTGCCCATCCTTGTTACTCATTGTCTTCCCCTGGCTCTCCTGCCCCACATTCTTCCGTCAA